TTTGGGAAATTTTATTAAAATTGTATAGTAGATATAAAAAGTACTATTGAATTTCCAAGATTTTCTTAATATTTTTAGAAATAATTGAATTTTCCAATAAAATTATATTTTTAATTATTGGATTCTTGTGAAAATTTTATTATTTATGAAAGTAATTAAATTTCTGAAAAGAATTTTTTTTAAATTCTTTGAAATAATTGATTTAAAAAAAAATTTAATGAAAATTATATTTTAAACAAATGAATTCATGTAAAACTTTTATTATTAAAAAAAAATAATGGAATTCTTGCAACGAAATAAATTAAAATTAAAAAAAAAATTCATAAAAAGAATTTTTTTATTTATGAAATGAATAGAAATTTTGCAAAGAATTTTATTTTTTCTGAAGATAATTAAATTCTTTGTGAAGCATTTATTATTTTTTTAAATAATTGAATGTTGGTGAAGAATTTTATAATCATTTTTTTAAAATAATTGAATTTCTCAGAAGAATTTTATTATTTATAAAAAATAATATTGAATTCCCCTGAAAAGTTTTACTATTTTTAAAAATAATTGAATTTTTCGAGGAAATTTTATTGTGAATTATTGAATTCTAGTGAAAATTAAATTATTCATGAAAATAATTAAATTTCAGCGAAGAAGTTTATTAAAATTCTTTAAAATAATTGATTTTTTTAAAAATTGAATGAAAATTATTGTATTTTAAATAATTGAATTCTTGGGAGAATTTTATTATTTATGAAAATAATTGAATTCTATTGAAAATTTTTATGAAAATGGTATAGATATTGAAAATAATTGAATTTCGAAAATTTTTTGAAAATAAAATTGAATAATTTCTAAGAATTTTATTAAAATTTCAGAGAATAATTTTATTTATTTATTTACTATTTATTAGTAATTTTCTACTGTTGATTATTTATTTTCTACTGTTAATTATTAATTTTCTACGAATAATTATTAATTTTCTACTATAATAATTATTAATTTTCTACGAATAATTATTAATTTTCTACTAATAATTATTAATTTTCTACTAATAACTATTAATTTTCTACTAATAATTAGATAGTTTTACTAATTGCGGAAGCAAAGAGTCAGCCACGATTTTACTAAAAATTAATTATTTTTACCAAATTCAGATTTCGAGGGAATAATTAAAACTTTGAATTAAGATTGAAAAATCTCACAGGCACGGGAGATCGAACCATAGACCTCGAGGGTGCAAACCGAATACTTAGACCGCACAGCTACGCAACCTCCGAATGTAATTTAAATATAATCTTCATATTCTAATCTTTACCAACACAGTTTTTCTGCAAATATCAAATTGAGACAAAAAGCGTTTCAAAAGTGTTGCAATAAAGTAACACTTTTGATACGTTCTTTTTTTTGTCTCAATTTGATATCCTTATAAAAACTGTGAATGTAATTTTTATATTTTTTTCCATAATCTAATTTTCATATACACGATTTTTTCATTATAATTTCCACCAATTATAAATTTGCCTTTGATTTAAAATTGACAATAAATGACGTATGGCAGCCCTTTTTATCACGATGATGCACTTGTATCGCGCGCATTGAAAAGTCGCTCTTTTATATTCAACTTGACGATTTTTGCACGTCGAATCATAGAGAGACTATTGCCTAATTAAGGCAATAATACCATCAAGAGAGTGAATCTCTCTTTCTCTCTTGATGTTATCAAGTTCTTTTTATATAGAGAGATGATGCGGGCAAAAAAGAGACAGAGAGACTTTCAATTGCATTCGCATTGCAATAGGAACTGTATTTTGCATTGTGCATTAAAGTGCATTATGTACACTGTTCACGAGGGGGTGTATTATACACACACACACAGAGGAAAATTGCACATCCGACCAAGTAGCGAGTATTCCCAGTGTATATAACAATGTAGCAGTGCCTTGTTTGTCGACAATTTCTCCCTTTAAGCGTCGGAACGCGTCAATATCCTCGGTTAATTTACCAAGCCATCATTAAATCAAAACACCATTTCACTCTTTTTTTTCTGCTTTTTCCACTTTTTTTTTCTCTTTCCATTGAGGGAAAAATATGAAAATTTCAAAAAAGTATAACACACAAGGCTTCAAGTGATATGATTTGCTTCAATTCGTTGCAAATTATTATTTGCTTCAAGGGCAAATTTGCTACTAAAATTCGGTTTAAAATTCGGTTCAAAATTCAGTTCAGAATTTGGATCAAAATTTGCTTCAGAATTTGCTTCAATAAATTGTCTGCTTTACTAAAAATGCAATTTGCTTAAAATTATTTCGGCTTCAAGTAAAAATTGTTGCTTCAATTCGTTCTGAATTATTACAAGATTCAAGTAAAAATTTAGTTCAAAATTTGATCCATAAACTATTGTCAATATGCTTCAAGTAAAAACTTGGTTTTTACTTCAAACTACTTGCTATGCTTCAAGTAAAAATTTGCGGTTCAGAATTTGCCCCAATAAATTGTCTGCTTTAGAAAAATTTAATTTACTCAAAATTATTTCTGCTTCGAATAAAAATTTGCTTCAATTCGTTTCGAATTATAAAATTCAATTAAAAAATTGGGTCAAAATTAAAATTTGCTCCAAAAAATTGTCTGCATCAATAAAAATTATATTTGCTACAAATTCTTTCAATTTGCATAAAATAAAAATCTCCTTCAATTTATTGTTCCAAATAATTACTTATTTGCCTCAAAGAAAAATTTCGCTTCAACGAAAAATTTCCTTCGACTGTAAACATTTCGTTCAAACAAAAAATTTTCCAATTCTTTGAAAAAAAAAATTATAAAACTGAACCAAACGAACATTTATTCAAGCTAAACAAAACTTGTACTCAAAATAACCCAAAAAATTACTATGATTAATTATTTACTATTATTAATATCATAATTATAATTTAAAAAAAATAATTTTCCCCTGATTTTCTTTTTAGTAAACTAAACACAATTTGGACTAAATTGAAAGCATATTACATCACTCTAATGCATCAACAGAACTTTCTGGTATATATACATATGCGTTATTTACCATTTAATATTTACACTTCATCAGTTTCTTATTTATATATTGTCTTGTTACTTTTTTTTTTATCAAATTTCATTCTTTTTAGTTTTCTTATCTTTTGTCAAAATTAAGTAATTGTAATATTGTTGCAATGAAACATAAAATACAGAAAATATAAATATACGTTAACAATAATTTTTATTTATATATCAAACATATAGGTCAAATAACAAAAAAAGCAAAAACAAATTTGTAAAATTGCGTTAAAAATAAATAAACCAAAAACCGAATTAAATATAAATATTTTTTTTTATAAATTATATTGACAAATAAAATTATTTCTAAATTTAATAGTTATTTAATATTGTTTCAGAATATTTTTTTATCAAATAAATATTTAATTGAATTAAGTAATTTTTATATTTAAATCAATTAACTGGTATTTGCTTAAAAAAATACTAAAATTCTATTGGTTCAAATTCTGAAATTGTTTGACCAAATAGTGAAGTTAATTGTACTAAAAATTATTGGTTTAAATACTAAAATAATTGGTTTAAATACAATTTATTTGATAATTATAGACAAGCAGTCGTTTATTTTAATCAAAAAAAACTTACTGTTTATTTATTATTAATTTTACTATTTTAATAATTGTTACAATAATTATTTACTATTTTATTCATTGTTTTCATTTACTATTCAGTGTTAATTATATTATTATTTTTATTATTATCGTCATTATTATTCTTTCTATCATTTATTATTATTTTCACTTTACTACTTTAATATTAAAATACTTTACAATCTTTTTTATTTCTATTTCTATTGTTATTATTATCATTTTTATATTACCCTTATTATTAAACTGTAAAAATTTATTTGATTCTAATAAACGATTGATTGTCTTTTATTAAATTAATATTTACTTGAAGCAAATAATTATTATTTGCTCTCTAAATTTGAATAATTAATAAAATTTTACTAATATAAATAGTAATTTCTACTAGTTTAATAGTAGAATTTATTAATTCAAATTATTAAATTTTACTATTCTGTAGTAAATTTTACTAATATAAATAGTAAATTTTACTAATATAAATAGTAATTTCTACTAATTTATTAGTAAAATTTATTCATTCAAATTATTAAATTTTACTTATTTATGAATAATAAATTTTACTTATTGGTAGTAAATTCTACTAATTTATTAGTAATAGTTATTAATTCAAATTAGTAAATTAAATTAGTAAATTTTACTAGTATAAAATAGTAATTTCTACTAATTTATTAGTAGAATTTACTAATTCAAATTATTAAATTTTACTAATATGTAGTAAATTTTTTACTAATATAAATAGTAATTTCTACTAATTTATTAGTAAAATTTATTCATTCAAATTATTAAATTTTACTTATTTATAGTAAATTTTACTTATTGGTAGTAAATTCTACTAATTTATTATAGTAATAGTCACTAATTCAAATTAGCATAAATATTTTTACTAATTTAAAATTAGAGACTAAGTCAATTAATAACAGTATTTCCCTGCTGAATAGCGAAATAATTTTATTTATTCAAATAAATAGTATACTCAAATCAAATATAATTTTGATTTAAATCAATTAAAAATAGTATTATATTTATTAAAATATTTACTGAAATATTATTGGTTCAAACACAAAATTTACTTGACTAAGAAACTTTGTTTATTGCCACAATAAAAGTTATTTGTTTCAAGTAAATAATATTTGTGATAATCCACAAGTATAATTCTTTATTTGACTCAAACAAAATTCTCCTTTCCTTTCAGTGCGCGTGTAATAGAACAATAAAAAAATAAAGATAATATTCTTCGAGAAATGCTGACACATAAAGAAAGAGAGAGAGAGAGATAAAAAAACATACGTTTACAAAAAAAAAAAAAATTATTTTGAAATAGTAAATACTAAATAGTGATGTGACCACGTGACTTACCAAGAGTAGCCGACGGCCGACGCTAAGTTCCCTACTCGCGTTCCGGAAACCACTGAATCCAATGTTCTCTTCTTCACTTGTCAATCAAAAATTAATTCACTTTACCCCCAAAATCTCGCTCTTTTCTTTCTCGCGAGTCTAATTATAAACACTCAGCTATAAATAATAATAATATCAAAAACCGCACACTGTCGCTATTTTTTAGCTGCGAAAATAAACTTTTTATAAAACAGTTCATGTACTAAAAAAACACTGTCGTTTCTATTTTTTTTAGCGCGAAAATTTTTTTCTTGCAATAAGAAAAACACTCTCGTATCTACTGGAAAAAAAAATTTTTCCTTACAAGAAAAATACTGAGAGAGAAAATCACTGTGTATACCGTATAGAAAATTATTCAAAGAACTTTAAACAATTATTAAAGAAATATTCACAGAGACATTTAAATTACTTAACGAAAACCCAACGTAAAGAATTATTATTGCACACTTATATATTTACTCCGTGTCACTGAAAGAATTCATCATCATGAAAAAAAACGCCACCAAAAAAATTTCGTTAAATAAAAACAATTTGTAAACAATTAAAGAAAATTTTCTTTTAGTCTCCCTGACCGAGAGAGAGAGAGAGTGAGTGAGTGAGAATAGAAATTGCTTTTTAAAATTTAGTCACTCGTGTATAATAATAAATTCGGAAAAAAAAACAATTCAATTCGAAACACGCGTGTGTTCTCTTGCTGTCGGTGCGAGAACGCGTGGCGATTTGTCGCGTTTACTCCGCACAGCTCGGTTTGCTGACCGACAGCGCGCGCTACTTGTCCCGCTGATGCTTTCAGCTGCTGTGTGTGAATCTCAGTTCTGTGGTAGATTTCTCGTTTAGTTAAGAGGGGCGCGAGGGGGGGAGCTTTTGCTAGTAATAGTCACTACGCGAGGGGAGGGGGATTCTCTCTCTCTCCCTCTCTCACGCGTAGGTTTTCTTACTCTCTCGCTTAGGATTGCTCTTTCTCTCTCTTGCTTAGGCTTTCTCTCTATCTGTCTCTCTTCTGGTTTCTCCTCCCCCCTCTTGGGATTTCTCTCTCTTACTCTTACAGTTTCTCCCCCCTTCTCTCTTTCGTTTCTTTCTCTCACGCGTAGGTTTTCTCTCCCTCTCTCTCTTACTGTTTCTCCCCCACCCTCTCTCTTTCGTATCTTTTTCTCTCTCTCGCTTATGGTTTCTCCCCCCTCTCTCTCTTTTTTTTAGCTCCAAGAGAACGAAAGAGAGAGAAACTCTCTCGAAACGAAAGAAAGAGAGAAAGGGGGAGAAACCTTAAGAAGAGAGAGAGAGAGAGAGAGAGAGAGAAACGAAAGAGAGACAAAGTAATCGTAAGAGTGAGAAAAAAAGAGAGGGGGGAACCGAAAGAGTGAGAGAAAAGGAAACCGATAGAAAGAGAGAGAAACAAGAAGAGAGGGGGGGGAGAAAGAGAGAGAACCTCCCTTCTGAGAAGTCGCATAGGTCGCACAATCCACGTTCGCGTTGTTGGGTTGTGCTCACGACCCGTGAGTGTGCCTTTGCAAGCTAGTGTGTGCGCGGGGTTCCGGTGGCCAATAGAAAGGGCGGTGCTACACCCCCCACCCTTTTAATATTATCATCATGGGGGGAAAAAGTAGTGGGGGTGAGAGAGAGAGACTTTGCTTTCGCGCTGTGACATCATCGATTCTGAATGGTGAAAATGCTCAACGGTGCAGAATGTACATTGGAGGGCGCTGCCTTCTCCCCACTACGCGCGCATGCCCGTCGCGCAGGGGTGGCTTTACCCTCCTGCGCATATAATAATATTTCTCTCTCTCTCTCTCTCTCTCTCTTTCTACTGTTAGATATCGCGCGTAAGAATCTTATCACTCGCACACGAGGTTAGGTTTCCTTTTTGGCAGTTGGCGCGCTTTTATATTTATTATTTATACTCAAATAATTACTAGATATTCTGTCCTTCCGGTTTGAGGGAATTTTGAACTCATTTTATTTCTATAAAATTTTTTAGTCCGTGACTAAATTTCTAAGTTTTAAGTATTCTTGGTTTATTTCTTGTTTCTTATGTCATGAACTAAATACACTTTAATAGAAATGACACGAATTCTTCTAAATTCGGTCAGACCGCTTGGACAACATAACGCGTCGGCGAGATTAAAATCCATTTGAAGAAACGCTTTTTAAATCTTTTGCGCTTTGCTTTTTTTAATACCGCAATGTTTTCTTTTTGAATTTGAATTAACAAAAATACATTTTACTAACCTAAATTACTGCAGATCTTTTAAAAAAAATAGTGGTTATAGGTTTTTACTTTCTCAGTCTTCCTAAGGATATCAAATTGAGACAAAAAGCAAATCGAAAATGTTGCGAAGCAACGTTTTTGATTCGTTTTTTGTCTCAATTTGACATCCTTAGGAAAATTGTGTTTGGACAACAAAAAATTATTCGGTTTTTTTGTGGCCTTCCAAATTTATAGTAAAGCAAAATGATTCGGTTTTCGACGGTCTTTCAAGTTTATAGTCAAAAAATGATTCGGTTTCCGGGGGCCTTTCAAAAAATACCTAAATCGTTCGGAGGAAAGGGGGGTCAAGCATATATTAAGAGGGGAGGGGGTAAAATTTCCAAACAAACTTTTTTTTGAACGGGCCCCTATAGTCAAAAGTGGATTAAAAGTAAACCATATTTTTAAGATTATAATACAATAAAAATTCCTGCTGTAAGCACAAACAACTATTTCATTTCGTTATTTCCATAATAAAATTTTTTTTGTTAAAAAATAAAATTGTAATCACCATCTATTGTTGCGTCATTTTTTTTTCTTTTGTAGAAATATAATATAGGGAATCAAAAAAAAAAAATGAAAATTTTGTATATTATATAGTTTATAAATCTGATGCAATATTAAGTAAAACTTCATGAGACACACACACAAATATTTTTTTGATGTTGTAAAACTTGTGTATACACAGAGAGTATATATATATAGATATATATTTAATAATTGATGCGCTTTTTATTCTATTTGTACAAATGTTTTCACATAATGGCACAGATGGTCCATATATCCTCGCACTCTCTACTTTGTATAATATATATAAAATCACACTAAAAATAAGAAAATAATTTGAAAATAAAAGCAGACGAGACACGCACACAATCTAGAAATAAAAAATTTGTTTTGTCGCGGTTAGATTATATATAGGAATTTAACTGTTTTTTCATAATATATGTATATTTATACATTATATCTATATAATATTAGAGGAAATTTAATTAAAATTGAAAAATTCACGCGCACATTATCTTTTTTTAGAAATAAATTATTTAATTCTAAATATATATGTGAAACATAACCTCAAAATGTCATAAAATCTCCCCTTTTTTTTGGAAACTTTAACCTTATTATTTATCAGACAAAAACAAACTTTAAACAATTCGCTTTACAACAACAAAATTTCAACGAGATTCTTATATCAAAAATAAGAAATTATATAGTTTTTAATAAATAAGCATGCGGTATTTAAAGTTCTACATTTTTAAGAATTTATGAATTTTATTATATACGAATTTGTCGTATACTTGCGGGTATATAGAAAAATATTTCAAATTTTTTTGACGATTGTAATTTGCAACAAAATTAGAAAATCAAAACATTTTGCAATAATTTATAACTATTAGCAAAAAAAATCCGATATCAATAAGGAAAATTTCAAACACTTTACTTTTTATACTTAAATCTTTACTCACTTTTCGAAACATTGCAGGTTATCGATAAAACGTGCCAGCAATACTTAATGTCCCATCTTCTTCCTCTCTCTAGAGGCTCATGCGCATTGAGGCAGAACGGAGAGTGGAAAGCGAGCGCCCTACGTTGTTTAAAATACAACGCGCATGCGTCGTTCACGCGCATGCGTCTCTAGAGAGGGAGAAAACGCGTAGGGGACGCTAGACTCTTTCTATCGGCCTGACGCTTCCGAATTCGTAAACTCTCGCGTCATCTATTTATTATTATTTCTATTTTTATTACTTATATTTATTTTTTTAATAATTATATTTATTTCTACTAAAATGTCTTTTAGTTCGTTTCTATAATAAAGGCTAGAAAAATAATTTTTATCGTCATTTCATCGACTGTTTATCGTCAAAAATCGTCAGATTGAACATCTGATGGGGAACAATAGCGATAGAGTGGGGGATAAGTTATAGCAATCGGTTAAGAAGCAGCGGGCAAAAGTTTAAGTAAAAAATTAAAATTATATGACAAAAAATGAAATTTTTGGCCAATATGAAAAATTGTAAATATATGGAAAAGAATGAGCTTAAAAGTGATTTTTTTTCACTGCGTGCGTATATTTAAATTTTAAAATGTACATGTATATGCAAAAGTAAAGCAGCAGATTTGAAAAGAGAAGACAAAAAGTTGAACGGGTGCGGACGTCGCCTTCGAGGATATTAAAATATAATTGGCGTTTGTCCCCTTTGTGCAAAACGGTATCTAGTCACGCGTGGGTCGGTTATGGGTGTTATGTACGCCAGAGTGCGCCACGGGTGACTCATCCTCTTGCTCTTCTTGCTCAACTCATCGCAGAGGGGTAGTTGCACCCAACAACCCCTCTCTGCCACTTATGCGTATGTATACGCGTCTACGCTCTCTCTCCTTCTCTCTCTCTATATAGTGCGTATTCTACGCTCATCGCTTTTATGACACTTTTCTTTCCTTTTTTTCACTTATCATAACCTCTCTCTCTCTCTTTTTCTCTCTTTATTCCCTCTCTTTCTTTTCTCTCTTTATTCCCTCTCTCTCTCTTTTCCTCTCTTTATTCCCTCTCTCTCTCTCTCTCTCTCTTACTTTTTTACTCTTTATTCTCTCTCTTAATCACTCTCTCTTATTCTACTCTTCTCTTATTTTTTTTCCTCTCTCTCTCTCTCTCTCTCTCTCTCTCTCTCTCTCTCTCTCTCTCTCTCTCTCTCTCTCTCTCTCTCTCTCTCTCTCTCTCCCTAGCCTCTCTTTCACTTTCTCTCATCTGCTAATGAAAAAAGCTTTTCACACAAAACGCCCGCGCTTACAATGACGCGCGAAAATTATTCTGTCCCAGTTACCGTTGAGGGCGAACGATCTACATATATATACCTACAATATATTTTATATATGATGTGCAAAAAGAAAAATATAAAATCTTAATTGTGTATAAGAGTTAGCAAAATTTTCTCAAAGTTAACGTCTAAAGTTATCGTAAGTTATTGCCCATTATTGCCCTAGGGAAATAATGGTCAATTTATCGACCGCTCACAGGTCAATAAAGTACCCATTATTACCCTAGAACAATAATGGGCCCTTTATTGACTTTCTTCATCAACTATTATTGACCATTATTCCCCTAGGGTAATAATGAGTACTGTTTTATTAACCTAGGGCAAAAATGGTATTTTTATTGACCATTCGCAGGTTTTTTTTTACCGCGTCAATTATTACCCAAAACCGTAAGAGAAAAAATCAAATCAAACCGTTTATTGACCTCGCTCACTAATAATTGATCATTTTTGCTCTAGGGTAATAATGATGTAACGTTATTATTAACCTAGAGCGAAAAGGGTCTTTTTATGGACCACTCGCAGGTTAATAATGTACCCATTATTACCCTAGAACAATAAGAGGAACTTTATTGACCTTCCTCATCAATTATTATTACCCGCTAGGGCAAAAATGGTCAATTATTGTTTCCCTAGGGTAATAATAAGTACTTTATTGACCAGGGCTACATATAGAGGACTTTATTATACTGTAAAATATTATAAAAAATGAACGTAAATTGAAATATCCTAAAGATTTTTTGCAATTTCTAAAACTT